AAACTGCGCCGGCCATGCTTCATAACATGCCAAGCTTCATTCCAATGCATTTATTGCTATAAACAAGTAACTGAATAATAATGAATGATGAATGATGATTATTGCAAAAATAATAAAATAAACTACAATTTTCAAGATTTTCCATCCATGCGGACATTTCAAAAACCGCTTGCACATTACATTAAACGTAATAACTAAAAGTGCTTTATTTCAAATATATTTCATGTAGACAGTAGCAGTAGCAGTAGTAGTAGTAGTAGTAGTAGTAGTAGTAGTAGTAGCAGTAGTAGATTTAACACATTAAACCAAATAAGTTCATAAAATGCTGCTGCTGCTGTTGCTGCTGCTGCTGCTGCTGCAAACGAATATTGTATTATTGTTGTCACTTGTTATGTGACAGCAACACCAGTAGTAATACCTTCAGTCATTAAAAATGCTTAAAAATTGCTTAGCATTTACTTGAACAATAAACCGACACTCTCGCAGAACAATCTCTAGGCCAAACAAGGTCAGGACCTAAATCGTTTCGAAAGGTGCGACCATTTCATGCGAGTCGAGCCTACTCCTTGCGTACATTTGCGCAAACTTAACATTCGCTTCTACGACACGCTATGTAGTAGGGTATAAAAATGCCTAAATTTACTTAGCAAAAATATTCCACGTTGTCCTCTACGTTGCAATGAAAACAAGCAAAAAAATTATATTCGATCGTGATCGAGCTTTTTTCTCACCCGTCACCGTCAGCCTAAAAAGATGGGAAAAATAACTCAATTTCCATACTTATAATACCGGATGGGCGGGGCTGATTCTTTCTATTTTCACAATAAAAGTGAGAAAGGTCAATTTTTTCCATTTTTGTGCAGGCGCTACAACGCCGCCACATAGAATGGGTAAATGCCCATTTGTGTATCGCCCACGGTCCCATACCTAATAAATGGTCGTTTTAATGAGAGCCTGCTACGCAAACATATTTTCCAAATGCACATAAATAATTTGTTAAAACATCAGTTTTAACGTTAGCGTATTAGAAGAAGAGCTGAAAGTCAATGAGTAACACTTCTCAATACGGGCTCACTTGATAACAAAGACACGTCTTATATGAGCATTTAAATGAAAAATGCCAAATGCTGTATCCTTTATTCCATTCCTTTATTGCATATATGCCTATCGGGAAAACTTTACAATAGCTGTACCATTCCATGCTATTTTGCCATGGATAGTATGTCCAATGTGTGCTTTTAGATTATCGTTGGACCGTTTTTCACAAATAAATGCCAACAATCTATTTATTACTTTTACTATCAACTGGAAAAGTTGTCATCCCCGAATTCTACAGACATGATACAAAATGATAAAGAACTGGGATATAACAGTGTACATGGTGTACATGGCCTTTCTCTACATAAAAGAACAGTTTTCAGTCGGCGTGCCCCGACGCTAAGCATGGAGTACTCAAAACTCTTCTTCTTCCAATTTCATAATTTCGGTTGTTTACTTGAAGAAATCTGCTGCCGAAGCCCAGCAAACACGTTCAGTGGCTTATGGAGATGCTGCTCCATCATATCCCAATTACCGGTTTTCGGTTCAACGGTTTAAAAGTGACGGGACGCACTGCTTGTAAATGCTATGTTTTGGTCAGTGGTCCAGCAGCTCGAATGGGAAATTCTGCCCCAGGCAGCGCACTTATCAGACATGACGTTTCCTCATTATTACTTGTCCAGATCGGTGCGGCTTGATTTTTGCTGGCGCACGGCTCCCCCCCACTCCCCAACTTTAAAGAAGTACGCAAATGGATCGTTGGGTGGATGGCTAGATGCCAAGCCAATATAAGTTCTTTCGCCATGATATCGCCGTGTTGCCAAAACTATTGTAAAATGTTTATAGAAAACGATGGAAACTACTTTGATATATATATATATGTATATATATATACAATATATATATATATATATATATTGTACCAATTTTCCAACAATAAATGCCTTTTTCAAGTGAACAAGTGAACAGAATTTTTGCAAACACCTAATACATTGATTATATAAAAAAATAAATTTGATCGATGACAATATAATGACATGTTACATGAAAAGAATGAATAGATTTGCCTTAATGAAGTAATTAATTTAAATATATAAATAAAAAATGATTGTTAGCTAAAGCTGCATTAAACGCCATATAATCGTTTTTGTGGCCAGATTTAGAGAAGATATATTAAATCGAGTGCATATTTTAGCAAAAATCTTGTTTTTCTACGAATCTTTGGAATTTTTTCAAGATACAAAATACTGCGCGACCTATGCGTACGTACGCATGCGTGAAAAAACTTTCGATTTAGATTTGCAGAGCATCATATTATTATACCTGAAATGTAGAAATGTTACGCAATTTCCATGTGCGATATATTTCTCTTTTTTCATATTGCACTGGCTTTTCTCCTCTTCTCCTACACTCGATTATTATATTCATCTCTTAAGGAGAGGCGGTATATAGTATTTTTATTTTTATTATTTATTTTTTTTTTTGGTCCTCTTTTAAAACCTACAAATATTTCCGCATATATATATATATATATATATATATAAGTAATCACAATATATGAGATATGATGTTTATCTCTTGATTTCAAAATTTTCTCGTCTTGTTGAGACGAAAGGATGAAATTCAAAGTTCAGATTTAATGCGTCATCAAATCGCTCGCACAGAAAACGTTCGACATCGTTTAACATATGCTTTGTCGCATTGTCGCTTGAGGCCCCAAGCAGATAATGCATGATGATGGTGCAAACTGTACAAATCGATCATGTTGTAAAATTCGAAAAATTATATTCTGCTCGTAAACGAAATCCGTCACGATATGAATGCAACTTTCTTGGCTTTGCTTTCTTTTCTTTTTTTTTGTAATACAATATTTTTAGCAAATATTTCGAAAACATCAGTTAACGTTACTATGTTAAATAGCGAAGTAACGAAAAAATAATTAAAATTTATTTACACACCTTTTACTATATATTAGTGGCTATAACTAAACGTGTACTACTTAATAAATTCTATTCAAATTTGTTTCTATAGATTATTTGAAACAGTAAAGGGGAATAGCATGCATATATATGTTTGAGCACGAACTTTGAACACCATCCACTGAGAATACAATTGCGGATATACGTTCGTTGTAAAATCCATATATATATACATATAGCGAAATTCAATATGCGCTTGAATTTCATTTTCGATCCAAGTCTTTTCAAGTTTTAAAAGTCTCTTAACACGCCGGCGAACATCAACTGATTACTACTTGCTGCGATACGTTCAAAAACTAATGCGGTAAACAGGAAAGCCTATATCTTCTATTCCAATAATGCCGGATCACGCATACTCTTCGCATAGAATTCGCCAAAAAAAATGACTGGAAAACTCGCTGCTCAACTCTCGTAACCGTTACATCAACTTGATGTCAACGAAAGAACAAAAGAAAGTTGTGCAGTCCATGCCATAAGCTTTGTAACGGAAAAACCGAGATTAAAGTATCAGGATCACAGTGGCACATATAATATAGTATATAAGTGAAATGTGTTTAAATTTTTGGCAAAAAAAAAAAAACTCCAAGGAAATCTCGTCTCTTCCTCAAAGGCTATACCTGCGTATTTAGGATTGTCGTTCATAAAAGAAACATCTGATATTTTCGAATTTAAAATTGGAAACAAAGCGGTTTTCTAAACTCAAACTCAAGAAGTTGTAGTAAGTATTTCTTATATACCTGACAACTGTCATTAAACTTAATGCAAACAGAAAAAGACAACAAGGCAAGTTAACAATCTTAAATATCCGCCAACTGGGTCAAAAATGTTTTGTAACTAAATTCATAGCATGCTGTATGTGTTTTAACTATCGTTAAAGCGAAGAGGTACGTTAACTTGCTACACAGGTTTGTAACATATCGCGCGAGGCGATGTGATAGGCGTGAAAGAAATGCTTTTAGCCACATAATGATACACTTTACTTTACGAAAAAAAGAATTCATTCAAATAATTGTCATTGTCATCAATAGCTCAAAGCTTAAACACTGTCATAACCAAGTGACTGCCTCTGACGAGATTAATTGGGAAAAAAATTTGAAATGAATACCTTTCGTTCGAGTGCTTCGGTATAGTCTCAACGAACTGCATTATTTTAAATTTACTTATAAATAAAGGAGCCCTACATTTCTTCTTCTTCTTCTTCTTCTTCTTTTTCTTCTTAAATATAGACCGATCTGGTCGGGGTATGTCGTCTATTTGCGAGGACAGCGGCCACAACCTAGCCGACATGTACGCAATCCGTGACCGAAACTAAGCATTCACTCGTTACTCGAAACTCTACCGCCTTAAGACATAACCTCGCGACCTCGATTTGTTCCTGTGTATTGCTTTAGACAAAGGCGTATCGTCAAGCGAAATAGATGCGGATTCGAATTCTCGTATTTGATATTTAATTGTTCTCTGATCGGGTCCACTAGCTATAAGATTGCTATGACGATAAATCACAACAACCGAAAATGAATTTCACAAGAGATTAGAAAACCTCAAAACCTCAAAAAAAAAAAAAAAAAAAAAAAAAAAAACAAGTGGAAACGATACGCCCCCCGTTTGAAACATCGTACGAAATCTTAGCTTTTTAAATAATCAGACTCTTCCGTTCATCAAGATAAACGGATGCCTGTATGCAATTATCACTTACGAACTGCTGATCGACGCGATAAGAATCCTTTGTCTAACTAAAAACCGTATTTACATTGCACTGTATATGCATTTAAATTATTATATATGTAGTTGGCACACTTGTTTTATCGGTAGCATGTTAAAAAGCCACGACCAAGCCAAGGAATATTGTTTTGATAAAGAAAAAGAAATTTGTTTTTTTTTAATTTTTTTCTCTTTTTTTTTTATCATTAGTCTCTTAACACAAAACACCAACTACTACTACCATATACGGCAATTTATCAAGAGTTATCAGTTAACGCTTACCTTTTAATACTGAAATCGAGACCGCTTCAAAGGGTATTTTAGAAGATTCTAAAAATATGTATAAAGCGCGACTGGACTGATTTAAGAGATCATAAAAGAATCGTATCGGTTGCAACGGCATTTTGCTAATATATATTTATACTATATATATATATATATATGTGCATACATATGTATATTATATTATATTTATATATTTATATATATATATATATATATATATATATATATATATATTTGTTTATTTTATTTATTTATTTATTTATTTATTTATTTATTTACTTCTTTTCTCTTTTTATTGTTTTGTTTGATTCTGTTTTACACGTTATATTGAAAATTTCTTTTTCAAATAGTTGGTTCGGCAAAAAAACGTAGCGCCACTCAAGTGTAGTGAAATTGCTTCGATCACGGTTAACACTGAACTGAGGCTTAACTCATTGGTGTAGATCATTTAATATGAATGCTAACGAAAACGTATACTTGGCATGGGGTGTAGTACACTGTTGTGTAGTATATCTGTTTTTGTATTTAAAAAAAAAAAAAAAAAAAAACGAAAGAAAAAGAAAAAGAAAAAGAAAAAAGGAAAACAACTCTGCCACCTTTGGCTTTTGTTCAGTTCGGCTACATAGTTTTAATATACTAACACTACTACTACTACTACTGCTACTACTACTGTCGATCTTTGTATGCGTATCTATATATATATATGTGTGTGTGTGTGTGTGTGTTGTGTTGTGTGTGCCTGTGCTTTCATATCGAGGCATACACAATGTATAACACTGTACGATTGCATATAATATGAAAAGCCGGTTGTTGTTTATCAATCTATAGGCTGATGTTGTTGTTGTACTCAAAAGTAGTTAATATATTAATTATTTTTGTAGATTTTTGTTTTGTTTTTAATATTCGTCGTTTCTTCGCTTTGCGACTGATGATTGTCCGGCTGACGGGCTACTTGGCGCTTGATATTTTTCATTATTTTTTTCATTATTTTTTTCTTTATTTTTTTTTATTATTATTGATCTGTTTAAATGTAAATCATTGTAGTTTTAATAAATAAACATAAATATATATTCGTGGTTTCGCACGAACGCAAGTATTATTTAACATAACCATTCTGTCAGAAAAGTTTCAGGAATTATGCATTCAAAAATTCTCTTCTTCAGCAAACGCTAATACGTGGACAATTCTCCCAATCATCTATGAATTTGCATTGTTTACGAAGGCAATTAATGGCAGTTATGTTAATTGTATTCCGAGTCGGTTTTCATTGATTGCTATAAATGAAACTATCCCATGAAACAGTCGCTTTAGATTGCTTAATTCTTATAGAGTTTTCTTTGGCCAAAAAAAAAAAAAAAAAAAATTAAACCGGCTTACAGGCGGCTATGATGCTCTGCTAAAAGCTTGCACAAAAAATTGCTAAAAATCGATGATTTTTTCCCCGCTTTTCAAATTGAACCTAAAATGATTTTGATGATTAAAAATCATTTATGAACAACTAAAGACATTATAGTCGGGCAACGCCCTGTACCATTTTGCATATCACAGTTATTTATTCGCTTTGCTAATAATAATACACCAAAAAGTATACATTATTTTCATGCAAAACCACAATTTTTGTGAAAGCCCGCGTTAGATTTTCTCTTGCGTTTCCCGGTAGTACCCATATATCTTGGGGTCCAACAAATTCTTTTTGCTTAAACGCTAATATGAATTAATTTCCACGATAAAATATTAAAAATTAAGCCTTTTTGCGAAGGACTTACCACTCATGGGATATCTGATAGCCTGAAGGGGCGCCAAGAGCGATGTTTTTGAATTTATCTCCTCTTAAAATTTTTTATTTAATTACTATCATAAACAAATTTTCTTCACAAAAAATAAGTTAACAATTCGACTTGTTTGGCATATAAGAGGTTACGTTTCATGGGAATCCTTAGGTGCGGTGATATCGAAAAAAATAGACTACTGGGTTCAAAGTCGGTAAAGTCAATGGACTATTTCGACCACTTTACCAAATTCAAGCTTCAATTTCCATAGGAACGGTTATGTGAGGGGGTGTCTAAAAAATTTTCCCTAATCGATCCGAAATGTTCCCACCAAATTCGAATGCCGAAACACTACTACGCTTAGCCAGTTTTGCCGAGAAATTTTAAAAATTGCAATTCTTCCGCATATAACGACTTTTTAGAATAGGGCGTCAGATGGGGGATGGTTCAGACAGGTATAATAAAAGGCGGGTTTATATCAAGCCCTTCTGGATGTTACATACGTCCGTACTAATTTAATATATACTGCGCAGGGTGCAGAGATGCAGGGCATAAAAATACTTCACTGACTTGGCTTAAGAATTAACGGGCGTATGATCTTAACGATTAATTAAAATAAGGATCTTAGCTGCGACAGGACGCTTTTAAAAAGACTTCAATAGCATTTTTGAATTTCGTTGTCGTTTATCCATCACCGAGGATCTTGGTCAAATATTTAGAGAGAAACGGAAGAATCGAAGAATAGAAAGATACAGGAAATGGCCGAAGGCCAGTGGACGCGTGTCCAATTTGACTCGCTTTAGCTACAATCAAGCATCAAACCGCACTAGAATTTGAGTTGATAGTCACGATCTGTAGTCACTCGTCAGTGAAAGAAATTCAATTTGTCTATTGACTCTACTAAGTTTACATTATTAAAATATTTAACAAACAGTCTAGATTTCGTTTCACTGTCAAATACCAAAAAATCTGAAATTTATGTAATATCTCAAGTGATTATGCAATAATGTATATCTTTGTTCATATTACTTATACGTGTTATTTTGAGAATTTTACAGTCGAGTACGATAGATTGCTTGCATGGCGACATATTTAACTCGTAACTACAATATTTGTGCTAAGGTTACGCTTACAGAGCATGTTATGCTCAAAGCATACTAAAAATTACTAAATCAAGGAATGATGCGCATATTAAGGGATTCATTGTTTTAAGCCAAATATAGTCACTTATTGATTTATCTATATTGTTTTATGAAACTTTCATATCGCAGTAAGCTCAACTGGCCGGTTGCATTTAAATGGCAACCGTTATTAGCAACGATTCTATGCGTCTACCGTAAAAGTTGCGCGATATTGTTGTGACGGATTTATTTTTACATATAATTTTAACTAGGCGATGTAAACCAGAATCGAATTTGGAAATGCCGGTAATGAGGAAAAGACAAAAAACCTGCGATATATCGAGAGAAAAAATCAGTGCAGAGTATTGCGTTAATCAAGAGGATTCAAATTTTATTAATTCTACTAAGGAAACTTTTAGATTCTTTTTGCAATTGGATAAACTTGGTAAACTCTCTTTGCTTTTGATCAATAATGCATCAATCAATCAATTTGCAACAGCTACCATATTGCTTTCTTAGCCCTTGGATACGAAAAACTTGTTAGGAGTATATAAAAATTCTAGATATTTGTAATGATCAAATAAACATGTCTGTCCGTCTGATTATTAGCTCTATTAGATCTGCCTTGCTGATTCTCTGGCAAGAGCTCGTACATCTCGCCCGATTATAAATTCTTACATCACTGAAGACTTTACGATCGTGACGTGAATATATATCACTAGTCGAGACAAACTAACTCTCTCGTCTTTCAAGTGACTTCATCATATACATTTTTGTGAATCTTCAAATGAAATACTCCAAATTCTTAACCACACACTTGACGCACTTGTTCTACCTCCAGATAATCTGTAAAAATATTGCAAACTTTTGCAATTCTCGGGTCATGTCATGTGACAATTTCGATGATTGTGTCTCTAAGCATTCAATTTGTAATCAATCTATCTTCTCAGCTTCTTAGAAGATTATGCGTACGATTGTATATATCCATGCATTGATCCCCACTTTGCGTATCTCGAAAGCATTTTAAAAAAAATTTCTTTATATATTTTACAATATTTTGAAATGAATTTAAAATGAATTACACTCGTCTGTTGTTGTGCCCTACATATCACCTGCCGTAAGTCCCCATACTTTTTAGATTATTAAAAATTTTGCAATTATGCGAGTGCAACTTTCTTAATTGCTTGCATGATTCTTTAATCAATTTTCAATAAAAATCTAGATTCTCGAGGACGAATAGCAACAATCAATCAATCAATCATCCAAGCAAATAAGCAAGAAATCGAACAAGCGATAGCCTAATTATTTTCTTCTTATCAATTGTATTGTTAATCTTTGAAAGCAATTTATTACAAGTTATACAACAGAGTGCTTATTGTTTATTTTGAAATCAACTAAACGTTACGTTGTCAACAGACAATAACTTCAAGTATACCAAGTAAAGTACGCGGTTTAGAAAAGTGCGCACATGCATTGCACATTTCATTCTCTTAAAAAATACCATAAATATTAACACCCACTTACACATACACATATGTACTATATATGTGTGTCCACATACAGTACAGTAAACGATGGTAATGATCGCAATTAATTAACTATTTCTGAATAAAATCCAATTCAGATTCGAAATTTTTACTGCACTCCACAAACGTTCGCCACAGTTGACAAACTTTATGAAAATGAAGAATGAATAAATGGAATGAAGAAAGATTTTTTATATTGAAAAAAAGAAAAAAAAAAAAAATTAATAAATAAAACTGAATCTTCTAGAAAGTACTGAGAGAAAATATTTAAACTTTATTTCTTGCTTACAATCAGAGGTTCGCGACGATTATCCAAATTACAAATACTTTAGTGGGACGCGGCCCACGATTAAATACTCTACTCTACATCATTTCATTTATTATACTTATACTCATATAACGACGAAGACGACGACAGAAAAAATGCTCCGATCCGAACCATTTGTCGGTGCAATAAATTTCATGAAAATATCTCAAATATTTCCACCTGTAGGTTGAAGAAAAGAAGTCAAGACAGCTAGACGGACAGGCGGAAAGCAGGCTTAGATCAATGCAAAGAGCAATTCTGAATCGATCGGTGGTATAATGAAAGTTGGATACATTACAAGTCCTTCTGGGTGTTGCATACATGCGCACAAACTTAACTTATACACCTTATACACCTTTGCATCAGCATTGGTGTAAGGGATGGAAAAAAGCTTGTACAAAATTAAAAAGCAAGTCTAATGCCTAAGATTGGCAAAAATTCCCATCATTTCG